AGTGAAGATACTATGGTCAATAATCCCCACGCCTTCCAGTATAGATTAGATATAGCTAGCTTCGGATGAACATAGCCAGTAGGAAGCTGTATGTCTTTCGGATGGTGGTAAGCACACAGGTTCAACATGGCATCTAGTAACTCTAGCCGGGTGACTTTCAGTGGTGTGACTCCTACATCAAAAGTGAAAGGCAGCGTCATCAAGTTTATCATGAAACCTGTAGATCTTCATCAAATATATTTATAAATTTACATGTTGAAACTTTTAGCTAAAACTTGCGTACAACAGCGTTCCTATACGAAATGCGGTATGTCGAGATACGAAGTACTAGCATTTGAAAATTGCCCAGAGCTTGTTTTTAGAGGTTTAAGGCGCGATTACACGGAGCAGTTTTCTCTGCAACTTGTCTTGCAATGGCGTTGCGGCACAAGTTGCATGGAGCATTGCAGCGTGTAACCTAAAGCGCAATTTGAAAAAGCAAATTGCAGCAATCGTTGCTAAAAGCAGAATTCGTTTCTACTTTTGGCAACGATTACATCTCCGTTGCACCGTGTAGACACTCTTGCAACTTGTGTCGCAACGCTCTTGCGAGACAAGTTGCAGAGAAAATTGCTCGGCTTTAGGCTTATTTGACCAACCTGTTTTGATGGTTGCTGCCCGTCTCACTATCCTATCAGCAATGTCCAGAGCCTCAGGAGCGTTCAACGGCAGTTCTGAGCCAAGTCCAATGATAATGATCCTCATTAATGTGTCCTCCTGCACTGGGACATCAGACACCAGGTTGTAAAACAGACTGCAAAAAATGGGACCCAACAATAGATTAATTTACTACTACAATTTTTTGTCTTTTAGCAGTTTACTCTGTTTACCACTGTCATCATCATCACCACCACCATCCCCATCGCCACCAACACCACCACTACCACTACCACCATCTCCACCACCATCACCACCATCACCACCACCACCACCACCACCACCATCACCACCATCATTGCCATTATCCTATCAATAATGTAATAAGTTAAGCTACTAACTTTCTATCAGCTTCCGTAGGAAAGTTGTCTTTGGCACAATAACTTTCTAATGGCTCTAAATAAAGGACTTTCTGCAAACTGAAAAATAAGGAAAATTTATAAAATCAGAAGTTCAATTTAACAGAATGACAAGGAGTCTTACCAATTGAGGAAGTCTTTGCCATTTGGATTGAACATCTTTGGCACTACAGTGTGAAGCCACCAAACTGCATCTCTCTGGATCACTGACACATTCTTCTGGAACTCATGGAGTGCTGTGAGATCTGATGGTGAAACATTTCAAAATTATTAGTGAGAGAATAAAGCCTATGTTTTATTCCAGTACCTGCTTAAGTTCTTATTACTCCCTTTTCTCCATCAGTCCCCCATTTTAACAGTGGTGCTTAACATTTAAACCAATCCATCCGGTTGGAAATTCAATTGTTAATGGTAAGAAAAGAGCGGGAAACTTTGACATCCGTCAAACGGTACACGCGTCTACCAAAAGAACCGAAAAGAGCAGGAAACTTTGACATCCGTCAAATGGTACACGCGTCTACCAAAAGAACCGAAAAGAGCGGGAAACTTTGACTTTAATAAAATGGTACACGCGTCTACCGAAAGAACCGAAAAGAGCGGGAAACTTTGAC